AAAAAAAAAAAAAAAAGAAATGTAATTATAAAAGACATTGACATAGAAGGGGAAAATGAAAAAGAACAAGGCAAATCCAACAGGCTCCGAACTATGGGGGACTAAGAAGGTTAGCAGACTATTAAAAATATAGGGAGAAGGGGACTCCACTCCTCTGCTTTAGTAAGTCATCCTCTTTTTACTCATCCCCTCTCCCAGATACCTCACAGTTTGACACAACTTTCTAATAAGCAGAGAAATCTAGGCTCCTGAAGAAGTAGACAAAGAACAACGAGTGATGCCAACCTTCCCCAATCTCTTCCTCCTTAATATCACCTCACAGTTCCAGGCCTCGCTAATTCCATTACCTGCCTGAGAAATACCAGAAAAGTTTCACCAGCTAAGATGAGAAGATCTCTTGATGGCTGAGGAGCTTGAAGCCCCTTTCCCATGCAGATAATGAAATCATTCCTCACTGCTAGGTCACAGATACCATATTCACTACAGACCACATTATTAAGTGAGAAAGTAGACAAAACATCCCCCAAATCTAATTTCTTATGTCTTTCACAGGACGTGAAGCAGCATGAGAAGAAACAGACTGCAGTACCCATCAGCTATGAGGTCAAGAAAAAAACTGCACAGGCTGAGTTTGGAGCAGCCAACAGTCAAAGAAAAAAATTAATTTACTTTCATCTTCATTCCTTCCCCCGAAGTACCCCCCAAACTTCCAATTACCACATCTAAGCACTAACGGGAACAAAAGAGTGAGCTCTCCCGACCCAGAGCCCGTAGGCTACCCTACCCTTCAGCATACCCAGAAGCGCCCATACCTGACACCGGGCCCTGCTTCCATTTCACCAATAATCTTAGTTATCTAAGTTTAGCAAAGCTTCCTTCGTTTCCCCGGTTCTCCCTCACTAACCCAAAGCCCTCTCAACACTCGAGCCCCTTCAGTTTATAGAATAGCCACCTTCCCTGAAAATGCCTTTTACCCACCTAAAGGCCCTTCCAATTGGATAACTCTCTCGAGAGGTCCAATCCCGGTTACCGTCGGAGCCCGGGCGCCAGGTTTGACCCCTCCTCACCTCGGGGCAAATGGGCTTACCTCACCCGCTGCCCTGTCCCGGTCCCCAGCTCCTCCCTCCTCGGCGCTGCTTAATGAGGCCCGTCCCTGCCCTCACACAAGCTTCAGGCCTCCGGCTCCCGGTCCCCAGCCCAGCCACCGCCAGAATCGAGCCGCCTCCCGGACTCACCAACTTCGGGGGCCCAGCCCGCCCGGTCCCCTCCTCAGCGCCCCCATTAGGCCTGCTGGGGCCCGGCCCCCTTCTCCCCTCTCCAGCGGGCCACTCTAACACCTTGCTTAGGCCCAGACCCGCCTCCGCTCTCAGGCCATGCCAGTCTCATCTTCTGGGCGCCTACGACCCAGTCCTTTGAGTTCCACCAGCTCGGTACCTGGGGATCCGTCTCCCCCGTCGGCCCCAAGCCTGTGTCGAACAGACAAACAGCTGCAGCTCAACCAAACTCCTGCCCCTCCTTCTACCCCGCGCCCTGGGCGGGGGCTCCAGCC